ACATATTTTAATATCTGTTACGAATTGTTAAAAAATTATATATTACATTTATCAAGAAAAGGTAAGTATTATTTCATATTCTCCTACATTATTACAAAATTACAATTATTAATTTTATTAATTCAGATTTGTCGTATTATTTTATTTATCTAAACAATTAAATTAATTGTTAAATCTTGAAAATAAGTTTTGAAATTAACTCAATTTAATTTAATTTGTATATTTTTTAACATTCTATCATATTTTATTCTTTTTTTATTTGTACTATCTTGTAACCCTGTTTATGTTAACCTAACAAAAGTGTCATTGTACCTGACATTTTTTTCGAGTCATTAAAAGACTTCGTTCATCGACCGATTATTATTTGCCGGACACTTGTTGTAATTTGCATTCGATTGATATTCCAAGATTAACAAACACGACACTCCAACCGGGATAATAAATCTCCCGTTTCTCGCTTCGAACTCTCACGAATTAAAGGTAGCTAAAGGAGTCTCGAGAAGAATCTTTAGAAGCGATTCGACTTTGTTATACGATATTTTGTTTCGTAAAGTGTTTTCAAGCTTATAATATATTTTCAAGAGGTAAGTTTCCGTACTCTTTCAGGTAGACATTGCGTATAATCGAGTAATGGCACCATGCAATACCCAACAATAAGCAATTGTTACCATGTGCTACATGAAACTAAACATTTGCGATTTGCATTCCATTGATGTATACGCCAGAATAACAAACATTACTGCTCCTCTCAACACGGATATTAAGTATAGCTTCTTGCCACTTAACCCGAAGGTCTCGGCCGAGGTTAAAATGAAGAAGCAAGATTCGATTTGCTATATGAACTCTGATATTTGTCTCAAAAATGCCTATGAATATATAATTCTTCGGAATCCGGTATTTTCCAAAGTAAAATAATGGCTCGCAGAATCGAGTAACGGCTTTCCGCCGCGCCTAAGTGATTGGTATTATTTCTTACATGAGACCGGAAAGCTGTGATTTGCATTCGATTTGTGAAAGTCTGGGAAAATCTGCTCATGGTAATCCCGGCGGATTCCACTACGAAAATTAAGTCCACGAATCCCTGTACGATTCAATAAAAGCTACTCGAAGAGGTCCAAAATAGAATATGGGTACACACACACCCACACAAATTCTTTTGTCAAGATCTTGCCAAGATCTTTAAAAAAACATGAAATGATTTTAGGCAATTTTTCATAGAAATTACAATTTACTATTTTTAATAATAAAAAATTTCAAAGAAAATTATTTGCGAACGTAATGTACATAATTTATAATTAAAATTCATATGGAATAATACGTTTTTCTAATTTTACTTTTTTTTAAAGATCTCGATAAAAAGAAGAGAAACTATATAAATATATGTATATTTTTTATACAAAGTGTATAAATATTTTTGAAAAAACTTTGCTGAAATAAAAACAAATAGAACAAATCGGCAAATGCGAAGAAAAAGATATACTTTGACAAGAAATAACTTTGACATATATGTATATATACATGTATCTTTTTAATATAAATTAAATAAAATGTAACGTTTTGAAGATCTTTTTTAGAAATCGAAATCTATCTTTTCATTATTAATATTAAAAATCAATTATTAATAAAATTTTATTCAATGTTTTTTCCTGGAAAACACGTGTGCATAATTTATATAAAAATTTATAGAATAATTTGTCTTAAGTAAAAACAGAGAGAGAACAATAAGTATAGTTGCAAAGTTAGATGCTTTTTCGATTGCTATTTCAATAGGGAAGGAAAGTCAGCTGTAGCCAATCAACGACAAAACAATACTTTCGCATTCTGGAAAACAGGATGCTAGAGATCTCGCGTTCGAGTATTACGCAATTAAAGAAAAAAACGCAAATGAATCTTGCAATTTTACAAACTTACGCTGATCAAACATTTTTAATAAAGAGTAAAATTAAAAAAAAAATAAGAGTAAAGAGAATCTCTTAAATTGTCAATTTATAAATTAATAAATAAATTCCTAATGATTTCAAGTGTACAGATTTATATAAAATAAAATTTACAGCTTATCGTTGATTGGTTTTCTTGATACTGGAAACTTATAAGAAATAATATTGACGCAATACAAGAAGTTCGCGATCGATCTTTGTTAGAAAAAAATTGGCGCAAGGATAATCAAACAAGGAGGTCGAGCGAAATTGAAAATTGCAAGCAGTTACAATAATGTCTCCTGTATTATCAATAAGCACGAATAATTTTCAGCAAATTCGTGCTGACGCAGAAACATACGTATATCTATGTTGCATATATATGCATGCTTTATATGGAGATATCTGTTCCATTCAGGGTCATTAACTCTCATTCGGAATCCAGATGTTTTTATGATTGTGTGAAACAGAAGAGAGTATTAAATTTATTACCTTGTGAAATTAATATCTCATTTTAGAATTTCTGAATAGCTAAGAATTCTAGCTCTTTTCGAGACATTGAAAGAGAAAGAGAGCTGAAGTTTTTATAAAAATTTTATTTACGAATCATATATTATAACCAAGACATATAAACGTATAATAAATATGGAAATAAAAATTATAAAAATAATAAGTTGATATTAATCAGGCTTTCGGTTTTATTTTTTAAAAAGACTACTAGCCTTCTCTTCTTTTTCTAGAATTGCAATCAGCAGAGCCAGGTATTTACATTCACTTCCGGCGTCCTAGTGCCCTTATGCCTCGTTCACAGAGGCATCAGCGCGTGACGGGAAGTAGCGACACGCGATTCTTCCCATCAGCGATTAGGATAGCCTAGTATTCCGTGCAATGCTGAGTAGAGGAATGAGACCGCACAACAAATTACAAGGACTGTAAACGTGTTGTCACATTGTAATGTCATTTCTGTGATGTCTCTAACATTTTTCATTAAAATAAAATAATAAATGTTTTATACGAATCCCACATTTACAAAATATATATTTTAACGAATAAATAATAATTATTACATAATAAATAAAAATTCTAATCTCAATTAGCGGAAAGAAAAATATCAAAATACTCTATATCATGTTATAATCAATAAATAAATTTATAAAGTTTAACGGCATATAGAGCTGAATTAAATGTAATTTAGATGGAATAATTTCAATCTAAAATTTACTTTTGTGACGCTCAAAATAAAATAGCACAAACAAAAATAAGCTTTGTTAAATTCAGAAATGGATTCAAATTTCATAAATGTATGAAGTTGCAGTAATAGAATATAATGTGTTTTCGATCGATCCAATTAATGTTTATTCACATCCAGATCATTTATTTCGAGTCGCGAAAATTCTATGGAAAAAAGTCGAGAATTCTTTATAGAGAGAAAATGTTGCAAGATGCAATTTGCAGATTTGTTCTTGAACATAGCCAGAAGCAAGGAGAAAATAGTAAAGTATAATATTATGATAATGACGTAATCGGTATCTATGGCTCTATTATTTGACAACAAGTTTATAATAATGAGTCGTACTTAGTCGCATAACTTTATGGTGAGAAAAATAACATTGTCTCCATGTATTGAAAATTTGTGTTAATTATAGTCCTGATAACTGCACAGTAATTTCACTATGATATTGCGCATGACTAATCTTAGAAATATTTTGTCGCAATCTCGGTTACGTGGCAATAAGGTAAAAGAGAACGAGGGCAGAAAGATTCAACTAATTATTCTGTATTTGTAAATAAATAAGTAGGCTGGCATCAATGCAGAAATTAATTTAGTAAAAGAAAAAAAAATTTAGATGTGTAATTATTGAATGCATGATTTCGAATATAAACTCGTAAGTAATTATTTTGAAAAAATTATAATAAAATCATGCTACGACAAAATGTATTGTAATATTCATTATTTTATGAAACAATATTTTATAATTACTTTCTTCTAATGACTTTTTAACACGACAATTATTTATTGCGTTTCTACATAATTAATACAATGAAATACATTTTATTAAATTTCTAAAAAAATAAATCGTCCACATGAGATTATAATCGAAATATCAATTTATGGATATCGATAGAGATTGCAGGTAAAGCACAATCATGGGATGATTTCTTTGAGGCAACACGGAGTGCAACCGAATTCATTTACACACACAGTACCGAGCTGGTATTAAAATGAAACCCCGGTATAGATCCACTGTACCTATTTCGTACTTGCGGAGAAAATTGCTTTTCGTTGTTTCCACGATGACGATACGAACGGGATTATTTCGTTTGGAAGTAGAAATAATTTGCGTTCGTTTGATCCTCGCGCTCTCACCCTGTTCATCTATCTCAATTTCCCTTTCTCTCTTTACGCGACAACGCGAGATGAAAGGCAAAAGGATGTCAAAAGAGTATTCTTTCACAGTGAATAAAATCCAATGAAAGCCAGGGCATCATAAACACAGTAAGCTGATCCTTTATCATAACGTTAGATCGAAGATCAAAAAAGAATAAGAAACATAATTACACACATATACACACACAAATACGGTTTCATATAATCGCAATTTAATAATCGATAAATTTACTTAAGTTTATAAGTTTTTTATTATGCATATAATATTTAAATATACTGCAGTAAATAATTTACAATAAATATAAGAAAAATATTTTATTACACATATCATGCATTCATGCTACGTGTTATTCCTATACTATTTTTAATTATTTGCAATTTCCGCTAATTATTCATCATAATTATACAATTATCATGTTTAATTCATCTTTTCATACTTATAATGCTTATCACATCTAAACGTTTCATGCTTTTACCATCTCTTAATATATGTTTTCTTGCAATTTATCGTTTTATCTTGTCACTTTGCTTTGTACCTTTGTACTTTGACAAATAAAAAAAAACAGGAAAAATGAAAAAAAAAGATCACGGACTGTGAGTTATATATCAAGTTTAACATCGTTCGGGGATGACGACTGATATAGAACGCCCAAACCACCATTCTGCCTTTCCCCCTTCCCGAACTTCCCCTCGTAATAACGGTCCGTCGTTTTACAGCTGGTCGACTCTTTTATTCGAAGATCCACGTGGATGGAAGGATCCGAGGTCATTCCAGCATGGAGTTTCCCCGGGAGGAGAGAACAGCACCAACATTCCGTCCTACAATTTGCTCAGCATAGCCATACCAAGAAGTCGTTTTATCGCCCGGATAAACTCGCCAGAATGAGGAACGCCTGGTGTCGCAAATGGAAAGCCAACCTCTACTACACTCTGCCCCCAGCTACTGTCCTGCGCGACAGGTGAGGCCGATCACGCGTTTGATTAACACGTAAAACACGGTTGCCAAGGAACATCCTTCCCCCAACTCGTTCTGTCAATAATTAAAGGCCGACTCTTTCGAAGTCAGCTTTAATTAAAGGACAAAACATCGAATAATTCCACGAAGAATTTTATCGAGGAAACATACAGTTTATGTGTCACTGAAGTATATTTATTTCGATTTTTAGGAAACGCAGCTAATTGCTTTTATTCGTGAGTATGTATGAAATATATTTCGCAGATTTTTGTTGAAACAATACGTTAGAAAATTAAAAAAAAATACGTTTCACAATTTATATTTTTTAATTTTTTATTATTTCAAAGTATGCAATTGTCAAAGGTCCCTAAAAACTCAAAAAGAAAAATTATAAAGTGATAAATTAATTTATATATAAAAATGTCAATAAAATAATGAAATTTTATCCTTTATTTAAATTTAAATTATTTATTAAAGTTTTGACGCAAAAGTAATATAATTTGAGTTAACTTTTTTTAAATTGATTTCAAAAATTTTTTAAATCCTGTACAGCTTCGGAAACAAACGATATTTTTTTTAAATGTATTATTGGTTATTTTAAAATGTTCCAAAAAATAACAGAGTCGCTCTTTTAACTAATATTAAATATTTAATTGCTGTTTCAAATTGTTTGAAATAAAAACAAAATAAAAAGTAAAACAAACAAACATAAATAATGTTTTCTCTCAAATAGCGTTAACAAAATTGAATTACGTGATTGTCATATTAATCATTCTTTAACCCCAGCTTATTTTTTTGCCAAGAGAAATAAAATATAGAATAGTGAAAATATAGAAGTAAAATACAAATAAACACCATTTAAAAATTTAGATGCTGTTAAACTAATAGATTAATATAATTTAACGTATGTATCAAAAAATAGATTTAGAAAGCTGCTTATTATAAATATGCATATATACAATTTGTTTTGTTTTTGTTTAACTGTTAAACTAAGCACAGACTTATTTAAAAGAAGCAACACATTGATGAATACAAAAATCGCGGCTATTTAAAGGTGCAAAAGAAACTGATAACCGAAATTATATACATGTCGGCTCTTTTTCACCGAACTGTTGGCAACACAGTAATGACTGTTCGTGCCTTAAGAAATGTCGTTTGAAAAATGTCAAACAAGATGGTTACATTCATTGGATCACTGTCATCTTATGTCAGCATGTCAACGACGAAAGTCGCTCTAATTCTAGGTGCCTAGTCGATTAACATTTCTTAAGCCTACTCCTAAAAATAATCATCATATCGCAGAGTTATGATTAAGTTGGACACTATAATCATATATGGTATAAGAGTGCTAGTTAATTATATTTCTACATATCACAGTTTTTTTTATCAATGCAAAATTGTTAAGATGAAATGTATGAGTAATTTCTATGTAGTTTATATTGTATGGAAAAAAATCTCGCATTACACAGACTTCTATCGCGGATTAAATTTCTGTTGAATTGTTATAAAGATATCGTTTGTGATCAATATTGATATTCTATTTAGGTAAAAAAAAGTTTTAAATTTCAAACGTTTGTGATTTTGTAATATTATTTTACATATAAAGAAGAAGCATTTTTTTCAATAATCTTTTCCTTATATCTATCATTCTCAGAGAAATATCAGTCATTCTATTATATTTAAATAAAAATATTCTTTTTGCTATATATGTACATATATTTTTTTTCATTTCCCTTCTTTATATGTGTGTAATATTATATTTTTAAAATCAATTTGAAAAAAGCGATTCATACATTCATTCAACATTCACACAAAAATATCTATGCAAGCATATAAATAAAAATTCTTAAATAAACTTCAAGAAACAAATTTGAAAATTAAATTTTTTTTCTCTCTATTTCAACATAGAATTGAAGAATCTATGGTTAAAATCAACCCGACGAGCCGGAGCGAAACCAGGAATGTAATCGTTTTCGCCGGTCCCGCTCTCATCGAGATGATCCTAAAACGAGTTCCGGGAAGAAAGACAAAGAATCTGTATAATGGTGAAGTGGAGCGGGGTCCACGGAAAGGGTATTAAGAATAAGGACAGAACAAGAGAATCCAAACGAAAGCAAATTTGACTTTGCACTTCCATTGTAAAAATCGCCGAGGCTGAAGTCACGTGCGAGGACAAAAGAAAACATGTGGATACGTACACACATCCTCTTTTTCTCCGTCTCGAAGAGAAAGGCCTTGAGAAGGGAAGTCCGACGGCCATTACCACCGAACGGAGGATCGAGAAGCACGCTTACCTTCGAGGGAACCTTCGAACGCAAAACCGAAAAGACTCTGAAATCGTTTGAATTTTAAACCACTTGTGGCGCGTTTGGCCTGCTCGAAGATTAATGGCTCTAGCTCTGCCCTCTTTTCCACATTTTCTCTTTCTCTCTTGTTTTCTCATGAAAACCAAAAATAAAAAAATACGTGTGCATATGGTATTAATTGCACGAAAATTTAGGAATTCGATGATGTATGAGACTTTAATTACTTAAAACGAGACGAATGTCTCTTTTAATTTTTATTTTTAGATTAATATTTGATGTGTGTCATGTTCCTTAAAATATAAAACGGAGCCCGAGCTCTTAATAGTTGGTGAAAAAAAAAAAAATATATATATATATATATGTACATTTAGTACGTAAATAAAAGAATATTGTTAAATCTAACAATAAGAAATTTCTATATAAAAGAGGAAAAAATTGTGTTTGTGAAATTATACACATTATTATCAGCATTGTTAAAATTTCATGTCACACTGTTAATTTTCTCTGAAATTTATTATTTAACAATTGTTAATAAAAATTTCTCATTAAATAGTAACATAAAAATAAGAAATATTAAATTCAATTAGATTTAAAATGTTATATTATAGCTTGTATTATAAACATATATGTATCGCCCGCATTGCACGGTTACTATGCGATAATAACATATCTGTCATCAAAACCATGCCTAAAAGGCATGTAATTTATCGTACCACGCTTAAAACTGATATACGCACGTTTATTAATGTGTATTTAATGTGTTGCGAGATATTATGCAGTGGTGAAATTGAAGTGCACCGAAATGAAAACGACGAATCGCTTACGTAATTTCCTTGAATATTCATCGATGGCAGAATGATAAACGAGTCGGAATGCGATAATTATAAGGGAGGATCTAATTCCAAGAATCCCGCTTCTATATGTAGTATGGAAGATTATTACGGTATCATATGGATCCGTCTTCTACATCAGTTAATTTACGTCGCAAAAAAGTGAGTCATTGAGAAGAAAATATATTCATCTATATCGAGTTTAATAATCAACGAAAAAATGTGCATCATAAAAAGTTCAATCTACATTTTTATTGATAAAAAATGTAGTTCAGAATTAATAAAGTATGATTTGATACTGAACAGCACTCTTCTTCTTATAAATATAAAAGAGCGTGTCTTCGATTTTATTCTCAATCAATTATAGTGAAGGATTCCCAGACGTGCACAACTTCATTTAGAATTTCACACACGCAACATCGTCGATCTATTTATAGAGGAAGAGTCAGGTCTACCTGTCGATTAGCATGTTGATGATGAAAAGTACAAAGGCATACCGTACGGAGAATTCTCGAACTCGACGCACTTATCGGACGCGTGATTCTCGATGACGTATTTTGTACTATACAAAATGTATAATATAGAGAACAACTCAATATCTCGACAAGAGTGCATCGCATGAAAAATAATACTGAAACATAAAATTGTTGAATTATTAAATTTTAACAATTTTGTTTTCGTGTTTCGATATTATTTTTTTACAATGTGTTTTATATTTTACAATTATTGTTTTACAATTAATGCACTTTTATCGATATTGAAATTTTGGATTTATATTCGTTTTTTATGTTCGTGAAGTTTTTCCTTAAACAGAAAAAGATATTCGAATAATGGAATTTCTCTCTACGTAAAATATGAAAGAAATTTGAAATACTTCGTGTTAAGCGCGTTCGGCAACTATCTAATCACATATCTTACATCACCCATATGTGATGCGATATATCCGCCTCGGGTTGGCGAATATATTCGGCGAACGGAGAGCGGAACACGCGGCATTACACGGGCGTGCACGGATACCTACGTACACATATAAGGCGGCACATAACAGAACGCATGTAGATGCACGGTCGCGCGTGTAGCAACACGGTCGAGCACCTTCCGGGCGTGCAGGCGTGGATTATTGCACGAATGATTCAGTGACCAGTCATTCGCGCGAGTTCACGGCGGTTTTCTTGCTCACATATCGCTGGCGCGATATGTTCGCGATTCTCACAGCACGATAGGATCGACGCCCAGAGCTCGTCGTAACAAAGTTTTCTTATTAAGCAAATCGGTTGGGAATACCGGTTAGAGATAAAGGTCATGTTACATGCAATTAGGGCAATGTGTGACGCTTGACCCTGTGCCAACACGGTTCATTTATTGAGGAGCGTGCTCTGAAAATATTATGTACCGATGCTCTCATTATCTCACATAGATATTGTGTATGTATATTTAAATATTTATTATTGGAAGAACTAAATATTAAGGCATATAACAATAAACTGTGAAAAAAGAGACTCTGAGCCGAGCAATTAAGAAATTTTTCATGCTCGAATATTAAATTATAATTTATTGCAGGTATATGCATATTTAAATTCACTTTTTAATTCCAAAAGATATTTTATGTATAACTGAATTTAATTTCTCTACACCAATTATCTTTGAATAATTTCATTTTCATATATGTATATGTATATATATATATTTAGTTTCTATTGTATTTAATATGCTAATTTTTTATTTCAAATTTTCAATAGGATGATTTAAATCACTCATTGTTAACAATACATGTTTGATATTTCTTTCTCTACATTTATATCTTTTTCTCTTATATATTCGTCGTTCGTAACTAAAAATTTTTGATAGCAACGTGAACGCGCCATGGTCGGGATGCGGGCAAAGACTACGCCTGTAAATTGATTAGCCCATTCATACTTTCAACTCGCCATCCCCTCCTTTTATTCATTCATCACGGTTATGCGCTTCATCGTTACAAAGCCAAATTTAGACGACGCGTTTGCTTGCCAAATGTTCATGAATATAAATGCTCGAAAAATATTTAAATCAATTTCACAAACATATTGAAATACTGAAAATCGAGTCATCATTTGTTAGAATATCTAATAAAATATCTACGAAACTAAAATAATTTGCTCCAAAGCAAAAAAAAATAAGATTTTGTTGTTTATTTTTATTCTAAAAACTTAATTTACACATGGAAAAAATTAGCTATTATAGCTCTATATTACACACGAATAAGGACAGTTAAAATTTAGCTATGATAGCTAATTTTTTTCCATGCTAAGAATCCTTATAAAATATAAAAAAACTGTTTATCGAATCAATTATTTTTCTAAATATTGCAGATTAATCGGCTCGCTTCTATATATTGTATTTGATATATACCAATGAAATAATATTCTTATATCAAATAAATATTTTTCAATCAATAATCAATATTAGTTTCAAATAAATAATTTATTAGGCAGTATTGAAATATTTATTCAAATTTGATAATTTTTGTTCAGTGTATGCGTATCTATCCATTCGAATTAACGCTGCGTCGCCTCCTTAATATTCTTCTCGCGACAAGACGAAATCCAACCGGTGGATATAGCGCCATACTCCGCGAGATTGTAACGACGTTGTTTCCGTGCCTCTCTGTAACGCACCACGTGCGGCACGACCGCGCCGTTAACACTGCAACATCGCGTTGCTTCTAACGAGAGAACTAACTTTTCCGCCATGGAAATGCTCGAGCCACGGAGACGTTTATACCAGGCATAATACAGAGACGCTGCGTCGATTCCCGTCGACAGATTCTTCGCTCGTATACACGTAACACACATACGCATAGAGCCACCTCGTTTCAACTTTGTGTTAAAAACGCATCTCGCTTGTACATAGAGAATACATGTCTGAATGACGTATCTTTCTATTTACGGTCCACCTTGGGACATAGCTTGTATTGTGGATAGTAGTGTAGTCTGCGATTACGAGAACGAAAGAAGATATATTTTTTCCTATATCATTTCGCAAAATAAAATATTACACAAATATTTTATTTTCGTTTACTTCGAGAATCGTTAATAACTTGTGATTCTTTATATAATTCTAGAAATTTAGATTATTATGTATGATGGTTATTTATTTGAATAACGTTTAAAAGTAAGAATTTAGAATTTTCAACATTTTTAAAATAATTTTGAAGCATGTCAAGTTTTTTCAAAATACCTATTAATGATATTAAAAATTAATTTTTAATAAAATATAAAAAGCAGTGATATATAACATTATTTCTTCTGGATAAAGATGACAGAAATATTATTGACACAGCTCATCTACTTTAAAAATAGTCTAATGTTTCACGATGGGCCTTCGAGCTTGAAGTAGTACAAACCGCTCGAAAAAGCTGCAGTTTCGTGCCGTGGACGGAGGAATATAAAGAGCGTATTGTGGCCGTTACAAGAACGGTGGATTACACACGATTCACCGCACGAGACTCGGAAATGATATATACGCAACGGAGAATACCGTAGGAAAGAATACTGGCCGCATAAATTCGGGGCGCGAGTCACACGACGACGAGGACGCTAAGCGACATATTTCCCGGACTCGCGTTTGTACTCTGAAACGGTATTAAGGTATTAAAGCGTTCTCGGCGAACGCTTTCCTCGTCCTGTGTTCTGTCCCGTTTATTTGGATCCTCCGTTTTCGATTCTCCGCGAAATACGCGTAGCACATTATATTTGAAGCATCGCGAAAACCGCATTATTTTGCCACGAGAGTGAGAATTATTTCACCACGCGCGAGCTTCGAAACACGGGCATGTAAAATTCACATGTGTTCGGAAAATTCCTGGGACTTGCTCTGCAGCGAAAGAATATTGAAATATTAAAGTTCAAGAAAGAGAAGGCACAGAGAGAAGAGCTTTACTATCCGCGTCTGAATAGTTTGTTCTCGGCTTGATTCCAGTCATATACGTATGCAAGCATCTCGAAAACACGAGGATATATAGGGTGTCTTAAAAACATCGGGTGTCCTATTTTTAACGATATTTTTCAACAGAATCGAAAACAATTTTTTATTAGAAATTACTTCTTCATTAGCATTTTTGCACGTAGTGGTTAACATTAAGTTAAATATGTAGATAATTTTTTAAATTTTAAATTAATGTCTATGTATGAAAAACAAATTTATTTGAATCTAGGATATTTTTACTTGATATTGTGTCACAATTTTTAAATTTTCAATATGTCTTCATAATAAAATCAACTTTAAATGACAAATTTTTATAATCAAACAAAATCTATTTCAAATTAATTAAATAATAAAATATTATTTGTGATATTTTTAAATAATCTGTTTATACTTCTATCGTTAATTTTTTTTTTTAATTTAGTTTCATAATGTATGTCTCATTGAAAATTTTCCATTGTTATACAATTGTCAATCACGCATTTAATTTAAGTTGTATTGACATGTATAGTATATGAGATTGTATCAATAAAT